GTCTGGAATTGCAATAGTGCTTGGAGTCTTTCGTGCATAATCAAGGTTATTTGGGATTTCCTACTCTTATTGCAGGCGGGTAAAAAGAGCCATTCAGCTGCCAAAGCTGAAATAAAAATATAATCACAAGAATAAGATTTGATATGGTATTTATATGATTCTAGGATTCCTTAAGCATCAGAAACTTGCTAACTTTTTTTTTTAAAGTCAGGCAATTGACTTTTAATTTGGCTTAGTGCTTAAACTCAGAATCCCATTTTGTTTGTTATTGCAACTGGGTCCAGCAGCTGAGCTGACACTGTGCTTCCCATCACATCAGGGTCATGCTCAGCTGGTTTGGCTGGGACACTTGCCTGTAGGAGAGCTCCCTGTGCACAGCCAAACTGCTCCCCAGCCCCTGTCTGTCTGGGAATCCTCACTGGCTCAACACCGATGAAAATAATCTGTATAGCTGGTGTGTTATCATGTCATCACCTGCACTGGAACCACCACCACAGTCTGAGCCTGTTAGATGATGCAATTCTTCTTTAAACCTGTTTTTATTTCCAGTCTAAGGCCAGGGGTGTTCACCTTTACCCCTCCTGCCAGTGTTCACAGAGCTCTCCCCTCCTTATCAGTCTCATCCAGTTTGGCAGAGAAATTAATAATGCCAATGGACACCAGGATGTCTGTGGAGTTGCTTTTAGGGAACTATATTTGTGATGTTGCATTGCCATGAGCACAGGTCTCAGTGGGAATGTTAGCAAGGTGAGGAGACACCATGGTAGGGTGTTCATGGATAGGACTGGGGCAAACTGGAGAGGAAAATGCTGCTGCATAATGTCACCTTCTGGTATCAAAATCCTGTTCAGAGAAGTCTTATCTTGCAGTTGGAAGCTCATGGGCAAACCCCACCTAAACACAAATTGAAAAATACAGTATTTCCATTTTCCCAGAAATTGCTTATGAGTAATGAGTGTCAGCACAGTGAGGTCAGACTATTTAGCTGATGGTTGGCAAGCAAAATTTGATGGAAATGCCAATCATTGTTTACTATATTCAATAAGTAGAACAGTTCTGGGGCAGAAGTTTTTAGAAGGGCAGGACATGACAAGTCAGCTATGACTGGTGAGGTATGTTCAGGCTATATTGTGACCTGTGCAGCAAATGAGAAATGATAGTCATTGTGAAAGGTTTAAAGGCAGGACCAAGTATGCCTGGACTGACCCTAACAGCCGAGGCTGTCATCCCTGGCTTTTCCAGCATGTTACAGTGTTTCTCCTACCTCACAGTTTAAGAGTCTTTCCTAGGACCTAACCAGAACTTCCCTGCAATTTCCAGCAATTTCTGTTTTCCCTATAGCTTGGGAACACAGCTGGTCCATCCTCCTGGAGTGGCCCTGCATCAATAAGAAGGCAATTGTTGTTCTCTCTTTCTTCTCTGTTTAAGCCAAACTCAGTTCTTTCAGGCCTTGTTTTTTAAAAGTACCTTTTTGGGGGGTATATTTTATAAAAACTTTAAAGCAGCTAGTGTGTAAGCCTGGATCCCAGCCGGGAGTGAAACCTTTCCTTCTGGTGTGGCAGCAATACCATGTTCTGGAAAGAGATTTCCCTGTTTGCAGCACAGGTTCTATGCCTTAGATTCATTAACCAGCTGGTGATTTTCCTGTTGTGCACCTAGAACTGTTCAGAAGGACTTTGGCTGTGGCTGAGCCTGGTCCCAGCAATGCAGGCAAGAGTCATGTTGCTCACTGACCCTGCAGCTGGAAGAATTACGGCTGGGTGAGAAGGGAATGTGGACATTCTCCTGGCAGCTCTGGCTGAGGAAGAGAACATCTAATGAAAGTGTATGAAAGGTCACACCAGGCCAAAGTCCACCTAGGTGGGTCCTGTCTCTGGCATTTCTAGTGTGGAAAACAGGGTGAGCGTTAGTCCTGCTCAGCAGTGAGCTGGGTGTGGGCTCTTGCCTTTTGGACTATGGTGTTTAAAATCCCCTGACAGATCTCTGTTCTATGGCTTTCTCTATCTGGCTTCATTTCCTTTCATTTGAATGCAATTTAAAGATAAACATGACAAAGCCCATGGGACAGCAGTGAGCAGAGCTGCAGCCATAGAGATGCAGGGGAGAGGATGTTATGTCTCTTCTCTGCCAGTTTGCTCTCTCAGAGCCTGCTCCTCTCTCAGGAGGGACTCTGGGAGAAACTGGAGAGGTTTGAGGCATTTCCTTGCCCATCTCCAGGGCCCAAAGCAAGTCCCTTGGGAGGATGGTGGCTGAACTTGCTGCCGGTGCCAGTGGTTCGCCATTTCAGGAGGCTCCATGGAGTGTAGCTGTAGTGCTTAGCTCTCTGTCATGTCCTGTTGCTGCTCCTGCTCCAGCACGAACAGGGAAACAAAGAAGCAAACCCTAAAGACTGGTGTGAAAGTTCTCCTTGAAAAAGAGGCAATAGGGTTTGGAAAGAAGGAAACGACTTGTTTCCTGCTGTGCTCAGTCCACCCCAGCAAGCTCCAGGGTACATGAGAGGCTGAAGAAGAGCCTGACTCAATGCTGTACCATACAGCCTAACATGGGGTCAGATGCACTTGGTGGACTGGAGTCCTCCCTGAATGCAGGATGGCAATAACAGGGTCCAGAGTATTTAAAATCAAGGGCTGAGCAAACAGCCCTGAAGTGGAACTCACTCCAGCATGCTGCTGCTCAGACCCCACTGTGCTCTGGTGCTGCTGTTTGGGGTTCCCTTCCTTCATCCTTTCCGTGCTTTCCTGCTCCATTTTCACATTGTTCCCTGCCCCTGTGGGTAAGTAGGACATACATACCAGGCTGGAGGTCGCACTGACTCGGGCCAGGAGCCAGGATTGTTCCTCCTGGGTTGCTGGTGCTCCCCATGTGTGCTGCTCCGGCTGCCCCCAAAGTCACCTCTAGGAGAAGGAGATAGGTGGCAGTAAAATAGGTCTCTCATCTGCTGTGACAGTGGATCTCCTCTCTTTGCAGCAGCAATCTCCATGTCCCAGGTGAGCCTTGCATGTCCCACATCTCTTCTGGCTGTCCTTTACTCTTTTACCCCCAAAAAAGTCCTCATTTACCTCTGCTGGCTCCACGCTGTCTGCATGGATGGCTCTATATGGTGGCCAGAGGCCCTGACTGACCCAACAATCTGCTTTCTTCATGCCAGGGTGGTGAAATAAACCCTTTTCTTCCACCCACAACCCGACTGGCTGGTGCCCAGCTTCTAATAGCATCCATGGAGCCTAGGGTCAGTGCCCTTGGGATGCCAGGAAAGCCTGTTACAGGGAGGTTTGGCTTCTTCTGGGGTTTGTGGGCTCCTCCATCACACCCCTATACATCTTCCTTGCCAGTCCAGTGCCCCTGCTGTGCTCCTGGTGTGGCCATGGTGTGCCTGTGACCTGTGAGCTGCTCACAGAGTGCTGCTCCTCTCCTTGATGCCTGTTGGTGTTTTAAACTGCAGAGGGAGTGTGCACTCAGCCCCCCCAGATGGTTTGTACGTGATGCTGTTCTTCTGCAACACAAAGAGCTCAGACCCTGGGGCCACGGGCAGTGTTGGAAATTTGGTCCTTGATGCAGTGCCAGCACACAGAGCACAGCCATCCCCTCCCAGCACTGGGGGATGGTGGGCTCAGCTGCTTTGGGGAGCTTTGGGAAAAGCAGATTGGTTTAACTTTTAGGCTGCTTTTTGTCCTGGTTAGTAGAAGACCAATAAATTTTTCTGTAGCTCAAAAGCTCTATGTTTTTCCTCTCTGCCAGATGACAAACTATATCTATGCCCTGACAACCTCTGTCCTGACATCCCCAGGAATATTTTGGAAGTCTAAGATAGGCCACAGCAAACGACCTGGAGTGACTTACAGTGGATGTTTCAGCAGAAACTGGGAAAGGAGCAACAAGCTAAATCTCTGCAGCACTATATGTGGCTTTTTTTGGTTTGCTGAGATGTGTTTCTATTATGCTGGGTCCCACAGGATCATGTGTGGTTGTGATTTTTTCCAGCAGCAGCAGTACCAATCCCCTATGACAGTTCAGCACCTGCCTTTGGTGATGCTCAGTGCATTTATTTCCACAAGCAGGGACTCCTGCCTGAATGCTGCCTCCACTCAAAAGCTCAGAGGGGTCTCTGGAGGTGAGAGCAGCCAGAGAGGTCAGCTCATCGCAGCCCTGCAGCAGTTGGGGCAGAGAAGCAGCACAAGTGCCAGCCCCAGGCACCCACCACACCATGGGCAGGCTGCAGCCTGGGCAGAGGTCAGGGGTCTGAGGGTGGACAGCTGACTCTGGCACTCAGAGGATGTGCTGCTGAGTGGGTATGTGTGCTTTTCAGGCCTGAAATGGGAACCAGCTTGTCTCAAAGGCTTGTGAGACTTCACCAAGCTGCTAAACCAGGGCGTGAGCTGGGAATTAGCAGCATGTTCTCCTCTGCCTCTCCAGGAAGGACTCCTGCCTGGTTTCAGATGGAAATATTTCCCAGTCTGCAGTGAAGTACATCAGCCTGGCTGCCTGACCCACACACATCAGCTCAGCAGCACAGGACCTGATCTGCTCATCTTACGGAGCCAGCTGCACTCCCAGTGCACCTTGACCTGAGCAGAGCAAAGGTGATGCTCACTGCTCAGTGACTTTGGCAGGAGAGACACTCAGCTCTTCTTCCATGACCCTGTGGTACAAAGCGTGGGCTCACTTTGCCCTCGCATTGCTCACCACCAGCTGTAAAAGCTCAGTGTTTATCTCAGCCCCATTACTGCCACTCTCTCCCCTATTAATACACCCATAATTTGCTGGCAGAAAATATCCTTTATTGCAATGGTGATATTTAAACCAGGGGAGGTATCAGTATTTTTTTGTTTAACTTGTTTTTAGGCAGTCAGTTCTTTTTCTCCAGCCTCTGTTCCACATCTGTGACTGCAGCCTTCTCCATCCAGCTGAGAGGGAAATTATGTGTGCAAGAGGAGACAGGGCTCCCTTCCCAGCACACTGCTCACATTGCTAGCACTGCTGCGCCTGCCGCACGCTCGAGGATGCTGCACCTGAAAGTCCAGTTTCTGGATGACTCCCAGAAGATCTTTGTAGTTGATGTAAGTCAGTATCATATTCTTATTGTTTTCTTTTGGTGTTAACTATTGAAGTAATTTCTGCTCTGAAGGATTGCATGGTCTCTCATAGCTTCTAGTTTTCGGTTTTAAAAAGCCCTTAACAAGCAAATAGAAAGACCAACCTCAAATTCAATATGAGAGGTTATAGTGCTAATTGCTAAGTGTCTTTCAGCACCAATGCACCCCTGCTCTCCCCTGTTGTTGGCATTACTTATAAAGAAGGAGGAATGACTTTTACTCATCTGGTGTTGCCTCTCGGAAATCAGCTAATATGAAATGATCTTCTTGACAAGTGTCTAGTTCCTCTCTCATTTGTCTGGCTGCCAATATAAACATTCTACAAGGAAGCAAAATCTGGGAACAGAATAAAAATAGCATAGTTATCCAAGTTATCCCTAGTGAGAAACATCTGCATGCATCTCTTCCTGGGCATTCAGTTGAAAAATAAAACCGTGTGGTTTTGTGAATAGATGAGGAAAAAGCCCCTCTTATTTCCTGCATGAGTGTCCCACTGAACACTGTGATTAGTCATTCACATTTAACAAATGCTAGCTCTGAAACAGGCTTTAAATGTTTAGTGTTAATATCTATGGTGTTAGATTTATATAAATGTGTATAGATAACTAACTAGTTGTATCTTGACTATATGTTAGAAACATCTTTTTACAAGTGTGATTGCACATTTACTGCTCATTAGGGCTTGATAATCACAGTAGCTAATTGAATTAGCTAATTCAAGTAGATTTGTTCTAGTACTTACCTTCATCTGCTGTGGGACCAGAGTGTTTAATATAAATTAGTTTTTTTCAAGTTCTGTTACATTTCTTATACTGTCCTGTTCTGTGGTTTGTAGCACAGCCTGAGAACTGCTCTTTTGGACACACAGCTCTGTTGCTTTGTGGCAGCATTTTGCACAAAAAAAGGGATTGCAAAGCATTTCCATCCCTTGGCAGAAATTGTTTGATTTAATTTAATTTATGTATCCTAGACCATCTTCTTAAAAATGGAACTACCCATTTAAAAATGCCTTTCCCCCCTCAATTGACTAGATCAGGGCACAGTGAGAGATGACTTAAAAGACATTGCTGGTACAGTGCTGCTGAATTTTTTTCCATCTCTGTTTTCTTATTTGCTCAAAACACAGCACTATAGCTCTGCACGACATGTTATTGCAGCAAATAGCTTCCATTAGAGGAACTCCTGGTCATTTCCTTTTTTAGCATGGAATGGTATTGGAAACCCCTTTTAGGCATTTCATGCATTTGCTGCTCTGTGGGTACGATAAATGAGTAGTTGAATTAGTGACTTCCCCAGTACAAAAGGACTGCTTTGGGCTAAGTTTTGTGCAGATATTTTAAGCAACTCTTCCCAAACCCTTCCTGACTTTGGAAAGCTCTTTTGAATGTGGAGTACTTTGGTGTAACGGGAGGGAAAAGAACAAAAGAGATAAACCACAGTGGGCCTGATTCCCTCTCCAACCTCACGCTCGGTGTGCACATCTACACCTGCCTCATGTGGTGTCACAGCTGCCAGGGTGTGCAGTAAGGTCTCATTTCCAGTCTGCTTTGCATGGGAATGAGATCCTCTCCTGGTACTAGATGCTGACCAGAAAGTCTCCCCCCTCCAATCACATCCTCACTGGCACCTGGGACCTGGCACCCTCTCCATGTCTGCTGTGCTCCCAGGATTTCCTTTGGTGGTTCTTGGGATGACACTGGGCAAACCTGGTCTAAGCCCCCAGGGCAGGTGAAGGCAGGGCCCTGGCATATCTCTGAGTGTCCTGTGTTGTGTCCTGCCTGCTGAGCCACCCCAGGGCTGAGCCATGGAGTGGGTGGAATTTTGCTGGGATGCTGTGCCAGTGAGCCCTGCACCTTGCACTGGGATCCCCTGCCCCAGCACTGGGGAGCAGGGACAGTCACAGATCATCCTTTAATGAGTTTCTTGCTCTGAGAAGAGATACTACAAAGCTGCCTCCCTCACACCCCAGATACCTAGGGCTGTGACCTGGCATGTGCTCTCACTGATAAGTCACTCCTCTCTGGAAAGGATTTAAACAAAGCAGCCTTGAGCCTGTGCAGCCTCCAGAGCCCTCTCTCCAGCACAGAAAGGACAAACCACTTTGCAGCCTTGGCAGACAAAGCCCGGGCATCTCTGTTTGTGGAATTTGCTACAGGGCAAGATTCAGTGGGAGGAAAGGAAAGAAAAGGAAAGAAAAGGAAAGAAAAGAAAAGAGAAAAGAGAAAAGAAAAGAGAAAAGAAAAGAGAAAAGAAAAGAGAAAAGAAAAGAGAAAAGAAAAGAGAAAAGAAAAGAGAAAAGAAAAGAGAAAAGAAAAGAGAAAAGAAAAGAGAAAAGAAAAGAGAAAAGAAAAGAGAAAAGAAAAGAGAAAAGAAAAGAGAAAAGAAAAGAGAAAAGAAAAGAGAAAAGAAAAGAGAAAAGAAAAGAGAAAAGAAAAGAGAAAAGAAAAGAGAAAAGAAAAGAGAAAAGAAAAGAGAAAAGAAAAGAGAAAAGAAAAGAGAAAAGAAAAGAGAAAAGAAAAGAGAAAAGAAAAGAGAAGACAAACCAACCAAACCCTGAAAAACTAATTGCTGGGGCAGAGTGAAGGACAAAGTCTCCTGTGGTTATGTGTCCCTTGTAAAGGTTGGAATTCATTGATAGGAGGTGTGCAGGGCTGGCTGCACTGGAGTGAGGGCACAGGGAGCATCAGGACTGGTGGATTTCGGTGCGTGGCATTGTGTACCAGCTGCAGCATGCCTGATGGGGGAGGCACCTCCAAATCCCACAAGCTGTTGCTCACCCCTAAACCACAGACCTGGGTGCAGCAGACTGTGCTATGGGGAATGCTGCAGAAATGGGCTTTGCTGTTGGACTGCAAGTGCTGCCAGAGTCCCTTTTGGGGATGGGTGTGGGCATGTGTCCTGTGTGTTGCATGTTGCTGTCTGCCTCCTGATGTGCCTCTGGCTTCCTGACCCTGCTTACAGTCCCAGCTGCTTCCCCTGAGGAGAGGAGGGGCAAGCACAGCATCTACTTTTCACCATCTTCTGTTCAGGGGTTTCTTCCTGTAGGTGCTAACGTGGCCCTGCAATGTCATCAAAGGCACATTTAGGGCTGGACATGGGGCAAACAGCCCCACATGTCATGTTCCTGCCTTGCACTGCTTTCCCCCACCACAGTGCCTGCTTCTCTCACCTCATGCAGGTGATTGTGCAGGGTTGATGCTGCTGGGCATGACTGTACCCCAGTGCTTGTGGCAGCACTGGCTGGGGCCCTGGTACCCCAAAAGCCAGGATGGGACACCTGCAAGCAGCTCTCTGTAAGAAAAGCTCTGCTTTTTAACCAGCCCTGAAGCAGTAGGGCTGTCTCCCCCACAAGCAGGTTTTCCTGGGTTTGGGGCTGCTCCTCTCCCACAGTGCCTGCCCTGGGCAGTGCTGGTCTGGGATGAGAGTGGGTTGCTCCCAGCAGACATGTGGTGGGTAATAATCTGGTAAGAAATGCTTGTCTTTCCTGGCTGCCTGACAAAGGCCAAGGCCTTTCATGCTAGAAAATTCTAGCTTGGAAACAAACATTTATAATTGTTTTAATTATCATTGTGATCCAGTAATTTCGAGGAGATCCGGGAGTGCTGCGGAGCGAATGCTGTTATTACGCTATCACTTTTCCGCAGCCTTTCAGCACACAGCCAGCAATTTCAACCCAGGAGAAGCCCTGAAAGGTAGTTATTAGTGTACATCACCACTGGCAGTCAGGTCCCTCCTGCCCCTGCTGGGAGCAGCTGCTGCTACAGGGAGCTGCAGTCTGCCTTCCCCCCCTCACCCCAAACGCCCTAATTTTGCATCTGTCTAACCCTCACTTTTGCAATAACCCACACTCATTTTTGGGCTGCTTTTCACTAGCTGACCAAGGAGTAGCAGTGTTTTTGTTGGGGTGGGTCACCAACAGGTCCATTTCTGGTGCTTTCTGGAGTGTTTTCCAAAGTCAGGATCCTCCTGGCTTGTTTCCCAGCTGTGTCACACAGCACGGCAACAAGTCAAGCTAAACACCCTCCAAGTGTTCCTGTTTACTTGGAGTAACTACAGCCTGGACTCCCTTATCAGCATGTAGTGCCACTTAATTCATATTGCTAAAGCGCACGGATGACCCAGGGCCCACGGCACAGGATCTCCACAGGGTCCTGTTGCTGTTAATTACCATTAACCATAATAGCAGCTCATCCTCAGCAATCTGGTCACCAGCTGTCAGGGCACACGGGCTTGCTGCACAGGTCTGAGGTCTGTTCCCGTTGGCTCTTAATTAAGCACGTTTGCCATGGCCATCCCTGTTTCAGGCAGATGCTTTTCCTGGGGATCACTCACTGGTTTGCCAGGGATAGAGCTGCCCAGACAGTGATGGTTGCACAAGGTGAGTCAACAGCAAGATTTCTTTCCTCTTTCTTTTCTGGTTTATGTTCCTTAATAAAGGAGAGAAGTGATGAGAAGGAATTTGATTTCCAAAAGCAGGGAACACAGCCTACAGTTGTCCTGTTCTACATGCTGAAGCCAATGGTGTTTACTGAGTAAGATTTTGCTGCAGCATGATTAGGAAAGTGGTGAAGGCAAAGGGCTGGAACTTCTCCCCATCTCACTGAAATCCCATCACAGCTGCTGTCAGCATTGCCTAACCCACTGCTTCTCTGCTCTATGTTTGCTAGCAAAAATCCTGTGGAAAAGGGCTGTTCAACCTCACCTGCAGCCACCTCAACCTTGCAGAGAAGGAGTACTTTGGGCTGGAGTTTCGCAGCCAGGCTGGGAATCAGGTGAGTGAGACTGGCAGTGTAGGGCCCTGGTGCTGCATCATGCCACATCCTCGTGGCCATGGCCTGCATGGCTGGGGCCTTGTTAGCACCTCCCTGAAATACCAGATGGAAAACACTAACAGAAAGTTTTGCCATGATGGCAAAAACACTCTGAAAATGAGAGTTAGGAGGTGAACCACAAACCAGCTGGCAAAGCCCTAGTGATAGCCCAACCTGTGTGGTCTATCCATAGCCATCCCTGTAGGACTGCCCAGAAGGACACTTGCTGCAGCAGCCAAGCTGGCCAACAATTTTGTGTTGCATTCCCCATCTCTTGTGCTGTTTATTCACCCAGTTCTTCATTGCCTTGATTCAGGTCTGGTTGGAACCACTAAAACCCATAACAAAGCAAGTCAAAAGTAAGTATTTCAAGAGTAAAACTCTTCTACATCACTACTAGCAACAGACTAGCACAGATGTTTGTACAGTGTCACTGCTTGGGGATGGGGTCTCTGGCTTTTAGCTCTTACCTGAGCTCATTTTATAGGGTGAAGCTGGGCAGGATTGTTTGCAAGGACACCTCAGTCCATACAAAATCCTGCAGAAATACTGCTGCCTTTGCAGCCTAGTATCTGCACCACTTCAGGCTCGAGCTGTTAATAAGCTGGCAGCTTGGCAGGGGAGCAGGGGAGGCTGTGTGCCTGCATGGCCATGCTGGCAGCATCACTCCTGCCTGCCTTGCTTTCCCCTTTGCAGCTCAGATGCCTGTGTGGCACAAGCTCTGCTTGAGGCAAGGTTACTCCTGTGCCTCGCAGGCTCTGCTGCTCCTCCCCAGCCCCACCGAGATGCTACAGAACCTGACCTGAATTCAGGCCCAGCATCTCCTGCTGTGGCCACAACCAGTGTTAACACAGTGCCCTTTTTAGCATATGGCTGCTTCCACCCCCGCAATGAACCAAAAAATGTTTTCCCAAACTACACAAGGACGAGGAGGTGACCGAGAGCTTGAGGCCACGACCCCAGTATTTGCCATGGGAAGGCTGCAGAACAGTGTTTGCATGGATTTCACTGAAAGGGGAATGCCTGATAAAGAGCCTTTCCTTTCTGCTTGCGCCACAAGTGGGATTATTTCAAGCACCTATTTCTTGTACCATGTGCCTTCTGGCCTGTCCCTCTGAGCCATCCCACCGTGTTCTGGGACAGTCAGTGCCTACATAATTGCCTCCCTCCCTCCCTCTGTGCACTTTTCCTTGGGCTTGGCTGCTTGCTCTCTCTCATCCCACAAAGACAAAACCAAAACAACTTTGCCCAGGCAGCCTCCTATGCAGCTGCTGCATCCCAAGTGCTTGGAGGGCTGAGTTTAACACAGCTCCACTGATAGCAATTACTGCAGAGCTCTGGCCACACTCCAGACAAGCACAACTGGCACAGCTCCAAGGAAACCCTCTCCTGGTAGGAGTTTTGCTCTTTAAAGAATTGCTGGGACGTTTTCTCTTTAGTATTATTTAGGTGTCCAAATCCCTATTTGTATCCATGAGTAATACTGGGAGCCTGGGCAGGTTGGTCTGGGGGTCAGCCTGGAATCCCTGATTTGTAAGGTTCCAGAGTAATTCACTCTGTAAGGAGACAGCATGTGTGAAGACAGATGTAAATGTTCTCAATAGACATGTAAAAGAAAACTTATGAAGGTGTTGTGTTTTAAGATCCTAAGGAGGTTCTTTTCAAATTTATGGTGAAATTTTTCCCAGTGGACCCCGGACATCTGAGAGAAGAGCTAACCAGGTACAGCACTTGTTTATTACTTTCTTATCACACAGTTCCATATTTTTGCAATTGCAAAGGATGTGTTTATTCTTTATCCCCATCCCCCCCAACCTGTCTGTGAGCAGTGGTTACCCTAAGTGTTGAAAGAGCTCTGTACTTTACAAAACAAAAACAGGGAGTATCTTTTCCTGATCCTCTGTTTCTAAACAAAATCCAATTGAAGGATCAGCCCTCTTATGAGGCTGCAATTTGTTTACTGCCAAATGCTTTAGCAGTTGGACACCGAGTCTGACTGCTCAGTCTCGCTCCTGCCTCAAGATGTGTTCTGAAAGAACAACTTCAATTTTATTTCTAAAAATGGCATTGTTAGCTTCTATATTTTAGGGAAAGCATCGCAAACAGGAGCTAAGAATAAAACTAAGGTAGCGCTTCTGCAGAACACTAGCCCCAAAAGATGCAAATGCCCTCCAAAACAGAAAGGAATGTTAACTCTGAAACTTACTAAGGAACATTTCAATGTCAGGGACATACTGGTCATGGAGGTGCCCAGCTGCAGCTTTCTGCAGGCGCCGCATGCTCCTCCCATGACCCTGCAGATGTGTATGACACAGGTTGAGACACAGGGAGAGGCACGGGAACAGGCATGGCCCTCATGGCTCAGCCCAGCACCCAGCTCCCCCCAGGCCATGCTCCTGTCCCCCTCCACAGGTACCTCTTCACTCTCCAGATCAAGAAGGACCTGGCACACGGACGACTGCCCTGCAGTGACAAGAGTGCAGCACTGCTCGTCTCCCACCTGCTGCAGTGTAAGGGCAAGCGAGTGCCTGCAAGGACAGTGCCCCTTCCCCAGGGATGGGGTGCTCAGCAGGGCTTTGGCTGTGTGGCCAGGGGTTCCCACTGCACTGACCCCTCACAGTTTAACCCACATTCTCCCCATGTTCCCCACAGCTGAGCTGGGTGACTTCCACGAGAAGACAGACCAGCAGCACCTGGCAACACACAGGTACCTGCCCAACCAGGAGTACCTGGACAACAAGATCATGCACTACCACCGGAGACACAGGTAAGGGCTGCTCTGTGCCATGGCCACTCACCCAAATCACCTGATGGATGTCTGCTGACAGGACTGTTCCCATCAGCAGGCAGGGCTGGCAGTGGGGTGGGTGTGATGCCAGCATGTCCTCATCCAAAATGGCATTTTTCAGCCCATTTCAGCATCTGCCTTCTCACTCCTGTTGCTTCCTGTGTGTTTGTGTCTCCAGTGGGAAGACACCAGCTGAGTCAGATGTTCAGCTGCTGGATGTGGCCAGGAAGCTGGAGATGTATGGGATTCGCCCACACCCTGCCAGCGACGGCGAGGGGACACAGATCAACCTGGCTGTGACACACATGGGGGTGCTGGTCCTGCGGGTAAGCCTTGGGCTCGGGGCTGGTCAGCACCTGGATGGGGTGGCTGAGGGGAAGGGCTGAGGGTTTCTTCCCTCCTCTGTCTGCTCCAAACCCTCCCAAATCCCACAAGAGGGAGTATGCTCTGGGTGTGCAGGTGATGCTCCTGGGCATGGCTGCAGGGCTCAGCCCCACTCTCCCCTCAGCACCTCCTGCTGTACCTGCCCTGGCTCTGCTGGCCCTTGTCCCAGCAAGTGTGGCCATGTAAGCAGCACAGGTTACACAGCTGTGTCACATGTGTTCACCATGTAATCTTCCAGTGAAAATAGCCACCTCACGTCTGTGCGATTGCATAACGCTGTAATCACCGCGGAGCTGCAGAATAAACACAGACTGCCTCCCACACTGGCTAATTTCAACCTGGGAACATCTTGCCAGAGAAAAAAAAACAACCAGTGAATCCTAGCTCTGGGTCTGCTGTTCGTAATTAGTGCTGCCAGACCCGGTTATTTATTCGAGCCATAAACACCCCTCAAGCATGATTAGGGCATCTGTGAGCCCATTAGGGCTCTCCTAGAAATCTGAGAGGGTCCCAGTGCCACAGCATGGGGTCACACACTTTTTCCTGGTTCTACCAGGAAGGTATTTCTTTTGGGGGCTGATTCTGCATTAATTCATGTGACATTTGAGCTGGGACAGATAGGGCTTCCTGCCTTGACCTCTGTGAGGTTTGTCTTGGGATCCTGGATTTCTTACAAAGAGCTTCAGCAGGCAGGGTTAAGCCCTGAACCTGAATTTCCACTTGTAGAACCAACTGATGGAGAGGAGGGTTAAACACCAAATCCCAGCACCTCTTCCCGAGACCCCAGCAGCACTGAGAGCTGCATCAAAGTCTTGTGCACTGTCCAGTGAACTCAGGTCTGGGCTATTGCATTTCTGTATTTACAGCTTGCTCCATCCTGCTGTAACCTCTGTGTTCATCCTTGCAGGGCAATACAAAGATCAACACTTTCAACTGGTCCAAAATTCGCAAACTGAGTTTCAAGAGGAAGCATTTTCTCATCAAGCTCCATGCAAACATCTCTGTAAGTACCATACCACAGACAGCTGCTGGGCACAGGACCAGGTTGCTGTGGATGGAAGATCAGTCAC